GAGCCGCTGCTCCTTTTCGTTGTATTCTTTCTTAATATGCTCTCTAATTCTCTCTGCCTGCCATGCTTCAAAAGAGACTCCACATTTATACAAATCTCCCATTCACAAAACTTCTAGGATACGCATTTATTAGGTTTAGTTGAAGCGATTTAGAGCTTGTGGTTCTCATTTTCTTTTCATTAAGTCTAGTAGTTGGCAGATGGGATTCTGCCATGGAACACAAAACACTCTTGAATTCTATGGCTTTCACATTAATCAAGTAGGTTCAAGAGATATGTTGAATTGTAGATTAGTATTTCCCACAAAGGGAAGTGTTGAGCGTCCGCAGGAGTTGACATCCATATCCATTGTTCTTTCTCATATATACACAAGAATTAATCCTCTTACATACATAGCTTCTTATCGCAAGACGTTTCAAATATGTTGTACATCATACACCATTTTTTTGTCTCTCTAATATGTGGAGACACCTAGAATTGATCATAGAGTTTGCTACTTAGTTCATTTCTGCCCACTTGTCAATCTGAGTTGTATCCAAGAACTGCTCGACTCCACTGGCCATTAGAAACCTGACGACAACACCATTGCGACGCAACTTTTAGCTTTCATGTAATCGATACAAACAACGACAAGTGATTAGTTAGGAAGAAACTCACTGGTTTCTCAGAGCTTTGATCATGGATTGGCATCCACCAGGAACCATGGACTGCAAGTTGACAGCAATGTTCGGGTTGTGGATGCTCTGCCGTAGGTGCACCCAACCGATTTCTCCTTGTATCGAATCCGACACTTTGGCCCTACATTCTCCAAACCATGCATACAATTTCATGAATTCGTATTGTGATTATTAACCACCGTTTTTATCCTAGTTAGTGATGCATTTTCCTGTATTATTGCACGTTACCTATACATGTAAGCATCAATGGCCGCGGGCGTAGTGTCGTCGGTGTCAACGAGGCAGCCGTCGGTGACCCAACAGTCGCCACACGAGTCCAATTCCCACCCTTCAATTCTTCCTTCCTGCAAAGCCAGCAATACAACGACAACATCAATCTCCAATATCACACAAGAAAATCGGTTTATTAGTACGTACTTGTTGGCCAAAAATCAAATTCACCTCAACAAATTCTCTGAAGGTTTCGATGGCCTGGACGGCTCTTGCTTTTGCATCTTTGGGCTCCGACTGAACATCCATCCTCAGCTCCACAGATTCAAAGGGCTCTTCCAGCTCTTTTATCAATGACCCAATTCCTTCCGCACTTCCTCCCAGCTTCATCCGTACCATTTCGATTATGATTTTCACCACCATGTATGCCCCTGCCATCACATACATTAAATCATACATTATCGAGTGCTTATAACCTTTCACCTTTCTTTTGCTCGATTGTTGAAGAGGCTTCCACCATTCCATATTGGACTCTGCCCAAGCACACAACTTGCAATGTGGCCACAAAATTTTGCTAAAATGCTCACAACCCATCTGTTAGAACGTGTTTAGAAGTGTTTAGACCGTTAGATCGCGTCCATCCAATGAACATGAAATGTTCATTCACAATCCAACAATCTCGAGCATTTGTAAACACGTCCTCATAGATGAGCTATGAGCATAGCCGAGTTGGTGGACGCATTAATAGCCTATTATTCAAGGGTATAGGTATTTACTTACAAAAACTAAATAGTCCATGGAAAATTGACTTTTGTAAATCAAAATAGTGTAGAGATTTCAATAGTAGAGATCTTACAGTTTATATCTTTTTTCGTTGAATGGGAAGGTTAGTACTCACTACTCAATTTAACATTGTTAGACTTCTCTTACACACAAATCCCGTTAGTAGTTCGTAGAAATATTAATAAATATAAAAGAATAACATTAGAAGAAAATATCATATAGATTAATTGGAGAGAATTAATGCTATAGTAATTTATAAAAAAAAGTAAATAAGTTTTACCGTCGTCGAGGAAATAATTCTCCTTGAGTGCGCCATGCCCGGAGGTTTCCATCATCAGATGCGCCTCTATTCCGTCCTTGTTCAGCTGGACGCCTTTATCGATGACGTTCCGGTACCCGACCCGGTAGAGGCAATGGCGCCCGCCCCGCTCCGTGATGAATTTGGACAGCGCCATGCTGGTCCTCGCGTCCGTCACGATCGTGCTCCCCGGGTGCTCCCTTAGGACGATGGCCGACATGAGGGCGATCAGCTTGTCGCCGTTGATCGGGTTCCCCGCGCTGTCGACGACGCCGCTCCTGTCGACGTCCGTGTCGAAGACTATGCCGAGGTCGGCGGAGTTCTCCAGCACGGCGGATCTGGTGACGGCCATGGCGGTTTTGTCTTCCGGGTTGGGGATGTGGTTGGGGAACATACCGTCCGGGTTGAGGTGGAGCGACCCGAACGTGTCCGCCCCGAGCTTGTCGAGGACGGCCCATGTGAAGAACCCACCCGACCCATTCCCAGCGTTCACTATTATCTGCAAAAGGTAAGCTTAGCAGGGCTTTATTGATATTGGGCCCGACTATTTTGGGCTTGGATAGCATTTTCAATTTGTGGTCGCTAAATGCCTAAAACGTTTTAATGATTACAGTGAGGTGTTTTTGAAAAAACCTCTTTGACAAATGAAAATTTGACACTTAAATTTGGGGATTACTAATTGTCGTCCTAACTTTATAATCATCCTAATTAAAATTACATTTATATCTTTCTTTATTGTGATAATATTTTATTCCAACAAAAATTATCTACCACTACCACTCACTCGTCGCCAAGACTCCCCACCTCCGACCGTTAACACCCTACAAGACCACCATGTTCATCTGCTTATCATTTCTTCTAATCAATTAAATTAATAAAAGAGTGAAATCTTCAATTTTGTTTGACAAAACCACTCCTTCGTTCTTCATTTTCAAGTATTAATTATAAATCAAAGTTAATTAGTACAAGGCTCCACCATAAAACCTTTGTTGTTCCTTCACAATTCCAGAGAGGGTTTTCGATCACCTGGAAAACGAGGTTGAAGGAGTTTGAACGACAGCGGTCATCGGGAAAGATGCCGACAGGGAAGGAGGGACGACGTTGATATGATGAAATGAGCTTGAACGGTGGCAGATAGAAAGGATGCATCGCCTGGGTGGAGTTCGATGGTGATAGGACAGAGGAGGGTCATTTTTGGAGCACTTTTAGTCAGCGGCGGAGGGACATCTAGTCGGCCTAGACGAGATAGGAGTGGTCGCTCTCGTGGAAGAAGATAGGGTGGTTTATAAATTTTAGGGTTGTTTGTTCAATTGATTTTAAGTTGGTTCATTAGGGTTATTCAGGTAATTGTATATTTTAAGTTAGGACGATAATAGCAATTTTAGGGCGACGTTTAGCCATTTAGTTAAATTTATATGTCATATATGCACTTTGACTCTGTCTTAGGTAGCTTGGTATAAGCTAGGATTTGAGGTTAGGATCGGCGAAAAATTTCATTATGGCGTAATTAAGGAAATATGTTCATAATAATTTTTCAAAAATCACTTTATATAAATTGACAAGATTCTATTTTTAGATTTATTAAAATAAAGATGATTTTACTATGACTTTTTCAAATATTTAGGCTATAAGTGACATATATAATATTTGTATAGACTACACCCACTTTTGTTACCAAAATGTAATATTAAGACATGTAATTGAATATTCAAATCCATTTTTCACAAAGTTAACGACAAACTAAAAAGGAAGACCTACATATTAGAAGAACATTTCAAAGGCCTCAAAATCTTTTGGGTCAAACAACATACCGCTTATAAAGAGTGAACTTTCGTCCTATCCACTATCCAGGCTTAGGCCAACATCCTAGTCTTTGTCCACTACGAATTTAACATGAATTTGAAAATTTTAAGGGGACCATCAACCCCTGCCAACAAGTTGGCTCTATCGGTCTGTCCTGCTGGAGGATGTGTCTATTTTTTCTTTTATTGTTATTTTGGGTTTTGAATCATCCAAAATATTTGTGTAATTTTGCTAATATATAGGTGTTTCCCACTAAAAAATCATTTAATACCAAATTGATTACTTTCAACAAGTGGTAGTGGTTTAATACCACCCCTACCTCCACCTCGTCCACTACCCCTGCCCTTGCCCCATGCTGCTGCAATAATTTGCGGATGGATGACGCCCTCCACTTGGTTCTCTACCAGGAGTTGATCTTCATTCTGAGCCATCTGAGCATGCTCAATATTTACACCGCATGCCACACAGCCCTGGCCCTCCGCAGCATCCAAATTTTGAACTGGGTTATCTCCAGGAGTTCATCCAAGTCGATAAGTGGACCTTCATCTCTCAGCAGGAACTCCAAGTTGAAATCACCTTGATCTCCAACCATCATGTCGTCAAGATTGTCAAGCTGAACCACTTGACCAACCCCACCTCCCTGGCCGCCGCCACACCCAAGCAAGACCACGGGGCTTCACTTCCTTAGACTCTCCACAATGTAGGTGGGTTTAGGGGGGAAAGTGGGAAAATAACCCACAATGTGGGTGGGAAAAGTGGAAAAGATGGAGAAAGGGGAAAATTGGGTGGGAATAACCACCCACTAGCAAACAAATGGTGGATGCAATGGAGGGGGGAGGGGCCCATTTCCGGGCCCGCATATAATTTTTTTTTTTTGTTCTATTTTTTTGTGTTAATTTATTGTGAGGTATTTTGATTGGTTTTATCCGCAACGGACAAAATTAATGACGTTATATTTAATTAGTTATGAAAAAAATTATGTCCAAATTTTAAAAAAATTATATCGAAATGTTTGTATTAATTAATTCTCACTAACTACGTAAAAATAATGATCATTATATAAAAGTAAAATAAGGAAATCAACTATAGATTGATTTTAACAACAAAGTGTTAAACAAATTATCCACTTTTCTCATCCATCACATTGTGATCAAAACATCACTTTTTCCTCTTTTTCCTATTTTCCCACTTTTCCCTCCTACTCACATTGTGGATGGTCTTAGAAGGCAATTCCAAGGAGGGCATATGTTGTCCCATGAGACCAATCCTTGCTCTTAAGTTCAAGCTCCACTGGCGAAGAAGAAACGGGACAAAGTTCTATAGTGCTTCCACTCTAGCCAAGTGTCCATTGCATACATCAACCCCTACCAGGATCACAAGTAGCAGGCATGCTAGGTCTCGTGAGTAGTTATGCATGGTACATAATAGAAAAGGTCATCAAGTTTCTTCAATAACAGCTCCAATGTCTTCATGTACATCAGGAAGCACTTGCGGCTGATCAACTGCTGCTCCATGACCTCCACCACGTCCTCTACCCTGTGCAGCTGCTCCACCGCCTCTACCACTTCTACCTCCACTTCGTCCACGGCCCCTACCGCTGCCCCGTGCAGCGGCAATGCCGCGAGCTTGAATTGGAACGGCCACGCCACCTCCACCTCTACCTCCACCTCGTCCACTATCCCTGCCCCTGCTCTTGCCCCGTGCTGCTTCAATAATTTGCGGATGGATGACGCCCTCTACTTGGTTCTCTACCAGGAGTTGATTTTCATTCTGAGTCATCTAAGCATGCTCAATATTCACACCGCCAGCCACACCGCCCTGACCCTCTGCAGCATCCAAATTTTGAATTGGGTTATCTCCCCGGAGTTCATCCAAGTCGATAAGTGGACCTTCATCTCTCAGCAGGAACTCCAAGTTGAAATCACCTTGATCTCCAACCACGGAGCGGGCTTCTGAAGTATTCGGCGGCGGGATAACGAGGCGCGACGGCAGGGATGAAAACGCCGGTGCCGCGACCGGCGAAGGACTCCCAGATGCCAGGATCTCGGGCGGAAGGAAGCGGTTGAGGAGGAGCACGGCTATTCTCCCATGCTGTAGGAGCAGCAGCAGTTTCGGTCGAGTAGAGTCCAGCTGCTAAAGTCGTAGCAAGACCCGGAGATGCCCAACGGCGGTGTAGGAGCAGGGAGAGGGCGGAAAGATGTTGGCTGATGTGGTCGTCGATGGCGGCGACGGTGAAGGGGAAGAAGCAGCCGCACGTCGGGCAGAAATTTGGAGAGTTGTAAGCCATGGTGGGGTACGTGAAGAGAATGAAAGAGAAATGGTGGTTGAGGTGAATAGAGAACTGGGTATTTGTAGACGGTATAAAACACAAAGTAACTATAGATTAATTTTAACAACAAAGTGTTAAACAAATTATCCACTTTTCCCATCCATCACATTGTTATCAAAACATCACTTTTTCCTATTTTCCCACTTTTCCCTCCCACTCACATTGTGAATGGTCTTAGAAGGCAATTCCAAGGAGGGCATATGTTGTCCCATGAGACCAATCTTTGCTCTTAAGTTCAAGCTCCACTGGCGAAGAAGAAACGGGACAAAGTTCTATAGTGCTTCCACTCTAGCCAAGTGTCCGTCGCATACATCAACCCCTACCAGGATCACAAATAGCAGGCATGCTAGGTCTCGTGAGTAGTTATGCATGGTACATAATAGAAAAGGTCATCAAGTTTCTTCAATAACAGCTTCAATGTCTTCATGTACATCAGGAAGCACTTGCGGCTGATCAACTGCTGCTCCATGACCTCCACCACGTCCTCTACCCTGTGAAGCTGCTCCACCGCCTCTACCACTTCTACCTCCACTTCGTCCATGGCCCCTACCGCTGCCCCGTGCAGCGACAATGCCGCCAGCTTGAATTGGAACAGCCACGCCACCTCCACCTCTACCTCCACCTCGTCCACTATCCCTGCCCCTGCTCTTGCCCCTTGTTGCTGCAATAATTTGCGGATGGATGACGCCCTCTACTTGGTTCTCTACCAGGAGTTGATCTTCATTTTGAGTCATCTAAGCATGCTCAATATTCACACCGCCAGCCACACCGCCCTGGCCCTCTGCAGCATCCAAATTTTGAACTGGGTTATCTCCCCGGAGTTCATCCAAGTCGATAAGTGGACCTTCATCTCTCAGCAGGAACTCCAAGTTGAAATCACCTTGATCTCCAACCATCATGTCGTCAAGATTGTCATGCTGAACCACTTGACAAACCCCATCTCCCTGCCCGCCGCCACCACCAGCAAGACCACGGGGCTTCACTTCCTTAGACTCTCCACAATGTAGGTGGGTTTAGGAGGGAAAGTGGGAAAATAACCTACAATGTGGATGAGAAAAGTGGAAAAGATGGAGAAAGGGGAAAATTTGGTGGGAATACCCACCCACTAGCAAACAAATGGTGGATGCAATGGAGGGAGAAGGGGCCCATTGCCGGGTCCGCATATAATTTTTTTTGTTCTATTTTTTTGTTTTAATGATTTTCTTTTATTGTGAGGTATTTTGATTGGTTTTATCCGCAATGGAAAAAATTAGTGACGTTATATTTAATTAGTTATAAAAAAAATTATGTCCAAATTTTAAAAAATTATATCGAAATGTTCTTATTAATTAATTATCACTAACTACGTAAAATAATGAACATTATATAAAAGTAAAATGAGGAAATCAACTATAGATTGAATTTAACAACAAAGTGTTAAACAAATTATCCACTTTTCCCACCCCTCACATTGTGATCAAAATATCACTTTTTCCTATTTTCTCACTTTTCCCTCCCACTCACATTGTGGATGATCTTAGAAGGCAATTCCAAGGAGGGCATATGTTGTCCCATGAGACCAATCCTTGCTCTTAAGTTCAAGCTCCACTGGCGAAGAAGAAATGGGACAAAGTTCTTTAGTGCTTCCACTCTAGCCAAGTGTCCGTTGCATACATCAACCCTTACCAGGATCACAAGTAGCAGGCATGCTAGGTCTCGTGAGTAGTTATGCATGGTACATAATAGAAAAGGTCATCAAGTTTCTTCAATAACAGCTTCAATGTCTTCATGTTATCAGGAAGCACTTGCGGCAGATCAACTACTGCTCCATGACCGCCACCATGTCCTCTACCCTGTGCAGCTGCTCCACCGCCTCTACCACTTCTACCTCCACCTCTTCCACGGCCCCTACCCTGCCCCGTGCAGCGGCAATGCCGCCAGCTTGAATTGTAACGGCCACGCCACCTCCACCTCGTCCACTGCCCCTGCCCCGTGCTGCTGCAATAATTTGCTGATGGATGACGCCCTCTACTTGGTTCTCTACCACGAGTTGATCTTCATTCTGAGCTATCTAAGCATGCTCAATATTCACACCGCCAGCCACACGGCCCTGGCCCTCCGCAGCATCCAAATTTTGAATTGGGTTATCTCCCAGAAGTTCATCCAAGTCGATAAGTGGACCTTCATCTCTCAGCAGGAACTCCAAGTTGAAATCACGTTGATCTTCAACCATCATGTCGTCAAGATTGTCATGCTGAACCACTTGACTAACCAAGTTGAAAACCATCAAAAACATAAAACACCCTCGTTTGAACATTGTTCGGAGAGGAGTGAACCATGTTATTAATCGTTGTTCAAGAAGTTAAGGTGAATTCATTGAGTTCAAACACCAGTTTTTCCTCGCCGAAAAAAAAGGTTATTTCATTCCATGTGAACAATTGCACAATCTCGCTTGACATCTCGTTGAGATTATTTATATCTTTTAGATTTCAGTTTTATACCTTAATCTCTAAGAAGTGAAAGTAAGAAGTGATGTATCTATTAGAATATATATCAGTCTAACAAACAAAACAATCTCATTTCTGTTTCCCACAATCTAGATTGTTTTATACGGTTTCGTCTAATAGTTGTAGAAATATAAGCATATTTAACATATGGTTGACTTGGGTTTTAGAAAGCATCTCTAATTTAAGAGTTGATGTCGAGCCAAAAAAAATTCAAAAATTATGTCTTTTAAGAAAATAAAAAGTATTTTTTATAACATAAAAGAAAAAAAAACTAAATTATAACTTGTGTGAAAAACTATTTTGACAATATAAAATTATTTTTTTCTTAATTAATTTTTAAAATAAAAAATAATCTTCTTTCATTTATATCATATCAAAATTAAAATAAATTCAAAAATAATGTTAATTCATATAAAAAAATTCAAAAAAAAATTCAGTATACTAATTTCTTATTTTTATTCATTTTTTATTAAAAACGTTTATACTCATTTTACATTATTACCTCTTTTATTAAAAGTATTTCAAATATTTTTTCAACAAACACTAAAAAAAATGTAAATTACTTTTCTAAAGAAGTCCAACCAGAAGAAGATCTCGCCAAAGATATGACAGGACGAAACTAGCCCTTACAAAACTTGTTTCCCCCCCCACAATCTCATCAATGAGATCGGTCAATCTCATTACCCATGTACAAGCACACACAACATCTATCTACGATTGTGATATCTCGCGAACTTAACTACCACCACAAAACTTCATTTTTTTGGTTTTTATGGTAACGTTACGCAGGAGGGAAAGATAAGAAAACAAGAAGATAAGGGTAGGATGCAAACAAGAAACATGCATAAACCAGATCTCTCTCCTTTCTAGTGAGTGGTCATAAATGAAGCAACGTAAACTCTTTGTTCCATAGAGAACTTACCTTGAAACCGCTGAGGGGAGCGTCGTAATGGACTGGGTGGTTCACCCTCTCCATGATGATTTCACGCAGATGTTGCGCATAAACGCTCATGAAATCCACTCTCGTCGGCGGCAGGTTGAGCAACGTCGAAACTTTCACCAGCCGGTTGGAGTACTTCCTCGCCGCATTCTCGCATATCTCCTCCACCTCCGACGACCGCAACCCCCCTCTCCTCGTAAAAAACTTCAGCCCGTTTCGCGTGTACGGCAAGTGTGACGCCGTCATCTATATATGCAAAACAACAATCCAAATTCAAGTACCATAACAAAAACGAACGAATCGATTAATGTGTTGGTATGAGACTTCAACGTACCATAATGGAAGCGTGGAAGGCAAAAGGAGGCAACAAAGTGCTCATGAAACAAGCGGGAGTGGTAGCGAGTCCCATATCGTAGACCATGCAACCTGCCCGTGACAGCCCGGAAAACACCGCCACGCTCAATGCTCCTCCGGTCACCCTCGGGTCCCTGCCCAACGAGACCTTCACCGGATTATTATCACCCTCTACTCCCTTTCCGACGACCCACTCCCCAAAGCTCTCCGATATGGCCTCCACCGCCGGCGGGGTTAGGTCGACGGTCCGGCCCTTCTCTCCCTCCAGCGCGACCCCTCGAACGTCCGACCCGTTCTGCAGCCGCCGGATCTTGTCCGCTTCTTCTTCGTGCATGCTCAAAATCTGCTGCTGCAACTCGGCGGTGCATGATAACTTACGGTGACGACGAGGAAGCTGTTTCCCCCACGATGATGCTGAGGTCGAGTTTCTACTGGGATCTCTGTAGCTTGGGTTGCCATGGTCGATGTATCTGTGTTGTTTGATGGAGATTGAACCAGTACTGTTGGTGCTGGAAGCCGCCATCATGTTGAGCTTCCAATAATGGTGGATTGGTGGACTAAAGGGCTAACTTTTGTAAGTTAATAATCATGTACATTATTCTTATTTATACTGCGTTTTCGACTTTATAGGATCTTTAGCCTCGTTTCACGGCACATAGAACACAAAAAATATCTAGGCAGCATTTTATTGTTTTTTTGTGGTCTGCATCACTCTTCTTTCTCAAGCAATTATTCATGATCTCTCGTTTTCCTTTTTGGAGTTTTCTTGCAAAAAGATTTTAATAATGTACACCAGGCATGAAGAGCCTAAGGGTCTTGCAATAGCACAGGATCAGCTAAAAGGTGAATGTTACCTGATATCTACAGTCAAGATAAGAATGGTAGGCACAAAATTCTCCTATCCAAAACTCTAGCTAAACGAGAGAAGAAACTATTTCATTTAATCTAACACTTTTGTCTATTACTATTAACTAGCGCTGCCGCGCTGTTGAAGAATTATTTTAGCGACGACAAGAACCATCGGCTGCTGCGCTAGAGCTCTGCTGATGCGGACTTACTGGGCCCAATGGGCTGGAGTCCACGATAAAAGCTCCACAAGAAAGCTCAGATAGAAGTCCGGTCCAGTTTAATTTTGTTAGAATATGGCTTGAATTTAATTTAGATTTGTTTTGTGTTTTGGGCTTGTGTTTGAGCCTTTTCTTTGTAGATTTGGAAAAAGAGTTAGGTTTTCTGTTTGGGATTAGGAGAATAATTCTATAAATACTCTTAATAGCGTTACATTAGCTATCTAGCCAACCAGTGTATATATTGGAGATTGGGGATCAAGGCAAGCGCAATCGGAATCACAGTAGAAATCGAAGGCTTCGTGCGGACTGCGGATCACGATGAACGCAGGTGGGGAATCCTCAAAGCCGGCGGCCGGTACGAAGAAGTTGCAGGCGGCGGAGACGGATAAGAACTGGAAAGGTAAGAACCTTTACCTGAAGTACAAGTACGGTAGTTGGATTTGGGGGATCAAGGCTTTCGAGGATAAGCCAGCGGTTGTGAGTGAACGGGATGGACATGAGGTTTTAGCACCAAAGGTTGTCTGTGAACAAAATTTCCAGCACCCTCCACCAGCTCGACGATCTGCCTCTGCCTCTCCCTATGCCGTCTCCAATAGTCGCAGAGATCAAGGGCAATGTGTACGTCCTTTACGGAGATCACTGCTGCTTGAGAAGGAACGGGTCCCCTGAAGACCCTAGAAACTGCTTCCAGGTTTTGGCATTGGATGAAGATGGCAA